GAAAAAAGGACTTGGGTTACAGAGCACCTGCTCTAAGAATTTCCTGCAAGCCCGGCTCCTGAAAAAGCTTGTTATAAATCTAAAACCAGTTTTACCTAGCATCTGCTGAAATGAACTGCTGTGACTCTTAAGACTAGTTTTGCCTACCACTGTCACTCACCAATCAGAACTTGTCATCTCCCAAAAACTTCACTACTGCTAGTGAGCTTTCTTCCAAAACAATATGTAGCATTTCTTCTCTAATGAAACTCCCAACACTTTCTTTGTTCTTCTGACACACCTGAGATCACCCCAGTCTACGTGTATGTCCTGAATTGCAATTCTGTGATTCTCAAATAAAATGTTTTGTTTAGAGATTAATCCCTTAAACCAACCAACAAAAAAAAAAAGATAAGAGAAAATAGAAAGGAGGAAATTACTAAATAAATAATACAAAAAATTATTAGCACAGAAAGATAAGAATCTCTAGACTTGCAGTGCCAAATGAGGGTCAAGCACAGGGATTATAAAAAGAGCCACACAGAGGCAAATCATAGTGAAATTTCACAATGCCAAGGATAAAGTGAAACTCTAAAAACCTGCAGAGAGAGAAAACAAAACTAAACTTAACAAACAAAAACAAGTCCCATGAAAAAAGGATTGGGATAACAATGGCATCAGACTTCTCAACAGCAACTCTGGAAGCCAAAAAGCACGGGAACAATGATCCAACTTAGAATTTTCTCCCTAGCTAAACTATCAAAGAAATGTGTGTGTGGAATAAAAAACAAGCACACAAGAACACCCTCAAAAACACATTCAAGAAATAGGCAAATGATTTACTTCTGGGGTGATCTTTCACAAAAGTGACAGAATAAAGTCAGGATAAAAGTGAAATAAAGTCCTAGAACTGGATCAGCCTGAAAGGAGGAGGACCTTTATAAGGGGGAAAATGGAACTTGTGGATTATCTCTTGCCCTTAGTACTGAGAGATCATTAGAGGCACTGGGAAGAATTTGTGACAGGCACAGTAAAAATTAACCAAATAAATAGGAATTGTGGCAACAAATTAACAAATCAGAAAAAAGTGTTTTATAGGAGAGGAAACACAATCGTAGTATACAGCAGACTCAGTAATGTTCAACATTTGCATATGCCTTAGTCTGTCTTATGCTGTTATACAGATTACCTGAGACTAGCTAATTTATAATGAACACAAATTTATTGGCTCACAGTTCTGGAGGCTGGGAAGTCCAATATCAAATTGCTGGCATGTGGTGAGGGCCTTTTTGCTGTGTCGTTGCATGGCAGAAAATGAGAGGGTGAAAAGAGAGAGCGCCCGTGCCTGAAACCCCTTTTACAAAGGGATTAAACCTCATGGCCTAATCACCTCTTAAAATGGAATTAAACGTCAACATGAGTTTTGGAGGGGACAGACATTCAAACCATAGCAGCATAGTTGGAATGATTTAAACACCAGATATTTATTTAATAAAAATTATGATAACTATATTGGGAGGATTGGCAGAGAGAGAAAGCTTTGCTGGCCCAAAAGAGCTTCTTTTTATGTTAAGATCAAACATAATATCTAATACAATAAGAAGTTAATAGATAATTTTAAAGTGTATAAAAGAGAAAGCAGCAGCATGAACACAGTAATTAGAAATATAAAGACGCTTATTTTAAAAGAAATATCAGTGGTGTTGTCTTTGGGGAGTAATTCTGGATATAGGAGAGAGACTTCTGCTTTTAGTTATGAGCATCTTAGTTTTCACTTATATATTAATTGTTGAGCAAGCCTGCACAGATGCTGAAACTAGACCCATACATCTCACCATACCCCAAAATTAATTCAAAATGGATTGAAGGCTTAAATATAAGACCTGAAACTATAAAACTCCTAGAAGAAAACATAGGGGAAACACTCATGATGTAAGACACAGATGCTGAAACTAGACCCATACATCTCACCATACCCCAAAATTAATTCAAAATGGATTAAAGGCTTAAATATAAGACCTGAAACTATAAAACTCCTAGAAGAAAACATAGGGGAAACACTCATGATGTAAGTCTGGGCAAAGACTTTATGAATAAGACCCCAAAAGCACAGGCAACAAAAGGAGAAACAAATGGCATTATAACAAACTAAAAAGCTTCTGTACAGCAAAGGAAACAATCAACGGAGTGAAAAGACAACCTACAGAATGGCAGAAAATATTTGCAAACTATACATACAACAAGAGATTTATTAATATAAGGAACTCAAAACAACAGTAAAATCTGATTAAAAATGGGCAAAGGAGCTGAATAGACATTTCTCAAAAGAAGCCATATAAATGGCCAACAACTATATGAAAAAATGCTCAACATCACTAATCATCAGGGAAATGCAAATCAAAACCACACTGAGATATCATCTCACCCCAGTTAGACTGGCTATTATCAAAAAGACAGAATAACAAATGCTGGTGAGAACGCAGAGAAAAGGGAACCCTCTTACACTGTTGGTGGGACTATAAATTGGTGCAGCCATTGTGGAAAACAGTATGTGGTTTCTCAAACAACTACAGATAAAACTACCATATGAACTGCCATAGTAGTCCCACTACTGGGTATATAACCAAAGAAATGGAAATCATCATGTTGAAGAGATACCTGCACTCCCATGTTTATCGCAGCTCTATTTACAATAGCCAAGATATGGTATCAACCTAAATGTCCATCAGTGGACTACTGGATAAGGAAAATGTGGTATATACACACCATGGAATACTACTCATCCATAAATAAGAATGAAATTCTGCCATTTGTAGCAACATGGATGAACTTAGAGAAAATTATGTTAAGTGAAACAAACCAGGCACAGAAAGAAACACCATATGCTTTGTTCATAAGTAGGAGCTAAAAAAAAAAAAAAAAAAAGGAAAGAAAGAAACAACAATCACAATAATGTTTCAAACTTTCAGAAGGAAAGAACAGGGCTGTAGTTACTAGAGGTGGGAAAGGGGGAGGGGGAAGAGAGCTCACAAGAAATTGGTTAATAGACACAAAGAATGATTACTTTCTGTAATGGTGAACATGCTGATTGTCCTAATTTGATCATCACACATTGTACACAGGTATTGATATTCAACACTGTACCCCACAAATATGTTTAATCTATTATTTTTCAATAAAAAAAGAAATTTAAAAGAATTTAGCAATATTAGAATTCTTTGCAAATTATATTTTGATTTTGTGTTTGGTGTGTTTTGGAAATCATAGCCATAAGAAATATAATTATTTACTCCTTCTGAGTTTGTTTTGAAATTTGTATTCATTGGGAAAGTTTTGCTAGAGATCTTACAGGAAGTCGGGATAAAATTCATAATATGAATTTTTATGGGGATTAATTTCATGATATGGGTATTTTGTAGATCCATAAAGTACTGGTTTCTACAAACAGGCCTTCTCACGTGGATTGACCTTTAATGTGAGAACCTGTGAGTCTTTTCTCTTCTGGATGAGAATAGAGAGCTATAGTTCTTATAAAAAACAAGAAAAAAGAATGGAGTCCCGTCTTGAATAGTGAAAGAAATCATATTGTAATAACTGATTTGAAAGTTGCAAGCATTTCAGAAGTTAAGAAAAGATTCAGAAATTTCAGCTATACTGAAAAACCAAGTAGTTTTGAAAGAAAGCATTTTAATTTTTCAGTAGAAATAAAGACACCCAGTGAATAGGTGTGATGTAAAAGAAAAAGCTTTGAACTTGAAGTCAAGGTCCAGATTTGAACCTCGGTTCTGCCTCTTTTGGTGTTGTTGTGACATTGTGGCAATATTTAACCTTTCTCAGCATCAGTTTTCCTATCTATAAAATAGGGATAAAAATACGAAGTTTAAAAGACCATTATAAGGACCATTTAAGATTATGTGTATAAAAGCTCTCTACTGCACAGCTTTGACAGCATTATATAAATGTAAAAAGTCATTATTAAAATAAATCAAATTTTGTCTTAAGTTCTTTTAGCACCAGTTTCCTGATATAGAAAGAACAATCCTCAATGTAAGGGGATCTTAACCCTTGACTTGGTGTTGTCAGCACCACGCTCAGCCAGTGAGCAAACCGGCCATCCCTATATAGGATCCGAACCCGTGGCCTTGGTGTTATCAGCACTGCACTCTACCGAGTGAGCCACGGGCCGGCCTAAAATATCACATTCTTTATGTTGCTGTTTAATTAAAGAAGTTATTCCTGAAGAACTTACCTTTCCTGGTGACACTAAGTATGTAATGTTCATGCATCAACCTTGAGACTCATTCAATAATAATTGCATGTACTGCCTTTTTCCACACAACATTCTTATGAATATTAATTCATTCATAAGGTATTCATTCATAAGCTATATAAGGTAGCTACAGAGAAGGTAAGTGACTTATTTAAAGTCACACCATTAATAACATGAGGTACCTGATTTCAACAGTGTAGCTCCAGAGTTGTCTGTCATTCTAGGTGCGTCACCTAGCTTTTTGATTTTATTTTCTCTTGCTAACTTTTGTGTTCCTGAATCACCATGGCAGACTGCTCTGATGATTCAGTGAAAGGTTATATAGATACACACACAGGTAGATTTACCTAGAAACATTCTGTTTTGATAGGGAATAACTTTCTTTATATATTTACGGTCAGCAAAGTTTAGTGTTTGTGTAGGAAACAATTTTGCAGATAGCTAGTAGATTATAGTGAGTCGATTTTGGGCAATGGATTTGCATTGATTATTTTATTGCTTCATGAAGAACATTTGTCTAATAATTGAAAGGCTGTTTTTTACTGATTAAATCTGAAAGATGTACAGGAAGTTTGAGATCATGATCATTCTCTACAGATAAAGTAGGTATAAAACTAGCAACTTCAAATCCTGCTCATTTAAGCACTTTGCATTGTATTTAAGAATGCTTTAAAAATCAAGTACGTCTTTTTAGTCGAGAAACATATCTTATGAAATTATAGATACTCTACTAATGTTCTGTTTTGCTTAGATGAATAATGTGACAACAGACTATTGTCTTGACATCATAAAGAAATTTGAAGTTTCAGAAGAAAATAAGGTGAAAAATGTTCTTGGCATAGAAGGTAATATAACTGATATTCTTGATTTCTCATGTCTTGATTCAGTCTGTTAAGTTAAATTTTAACTAATTTTTAGGAAAAGAATTGGGATATTCGTAGAGTAACAGGTAATTCAAATAAAACTCACAGTACACACATATTTTCATACAAAGCAGATGCCATGATGTTGCTATTTCTCTTATTTTTGCAAAGCCCACAAGCATTTTCCATTTCAGGCAAATCTATTTGATATCGGTGTGTGTGATGGATACCAAGAAATATTCGGACTTTTCTCAAATGGCTTATTTTTGGAAATAGCCTCATCCTGATAATTTCATGAAGAGAAATTAGGTCCTAAAATAAATGATCTATGAAACTAGTGACTTGAAAGTAAACAGACTTCTTTAAAAATGTTAGCAACTCATTTGTTTTTCCTAATTGGTAGCATTGGAGAGGCTGTTGGAACCGCATTAGTACAACTCCCTCATTTAATTGTTGAGGGAAGTGATACTCAAAGAAATTAATTAACCCACAGTTACACACTCAGAATCCAGCTCCTAGGATGTTATACATAAATAATATGGTGTAAATGTAGCCATGTGTATTTATAAATTACATTTATTTAAAATATGTAGAGAAATAAATTGCAGGCTGCCACCTAAGAGGAGAATCTCCCAGGCAGAACAAATAATCTAATGAAAGACCACTGGGGAGCCCAGCCACCCCCAAGGGTATCCAAAGCTGTGGTTTATCTTACCGTTTCTGATTGTTGGACTCCCATTTTCCCCTGCTCCCAGGATCAGTGTGGTTTTAATACTCTGTATTTATTTCCTGGGGTGGGGGGTAATTAAAATGAAGAGGAACAATTTAAAATCTTATATTACTTTAAACCATTTAACAACAACCAGAGATGATCAACTAACTTGGGCCTTTTCTGCACTAGGAAATTCATATTTTCCTTGGTAGGGCCCCAAAAGGTGGAATTAAACATGGTTTCTAAGTTATGGCCATAAAGATGGGCATGAAGAAGTTTTTAAGTCTCAGAGGATATTTATGGATATAATTTTACCAAATAATTCTTGAAGACTTGAAACAGTTTACCCTAATAATCCAGTCTATTTAGGTTCTTGTGAATCATTCACGTATTTATTCATATGTAATAAGTGCTGCTTAAACTCAGGCATTGTGTTTTCCAAGACTGTTGAAAACCCTATCAGTTTTTAAGCACTATTTCAAAGTTATAAAATGTGCCAGCCACTAGCAGTATTTTCCCAAACCAATTTCATAGTCAAAAAATCACACCCTGAATTTAGGCAATGCATAACTTTTCATGTGTCACCATAAATATGGCATTGACTATATCGTTTTTCAGATCAACTTAAAAACCTATCAACTGCGGGTTGATCAGGGTACCACTTAGTAAATACGGTTTTGACACTGCATAGTCATAGTTTGAGTTAAGTAGTTACTAAATGGCTTCTCAGTGAGCTCCCTCCCACACCCAATCAAAAGTCTTAAAAAGTCAATTTATTTTTCTCTAGATTATATTTGAAGGACTACTCCCCAAAGTCATATTTCAGCTTTTTGACACCATTTGACCTCAAGCAAATCTCTCATTGCCCCAGTTTTCCCCACAAAGGCTGTCCTGATGGTAAATAAGATAATCACTATGAACATTCTTTGATCTTTTTTGTCCCTGTTAGCATTGTTAAGTACATTTGCTTTGAAAGCTGCAGCACTTCACTCTCTCTTTTCCCAAAGGCTTTACAAGCTTTATGCGCAGTCCTGCTTGTGACATATTTAACCCATTGCACCATGAAGTGTACCAAGACATGGAGCAGCCTCTCTGCAACTACTACATTGCTTCTTCTCACAATACGTACCTGACTGGGGACCAGCTCCTTTCTCAGTCCAAAGTGGATATGTACGCACGGGTGCTGCAGGAGGGCTGTCGCTGTGTGGAAGGTATGTGCACTGTCTCTGGGCTCTGGGGTGTGCTGGTGGACATGTCCTTCAATCAGTCAAGTCTAGCATAAATGATGGAGACCTAAAAAATGCACTCAAACTAATTAGAACTATTTTTCTGTTCATTGTAAAGTCATTCTAAATTTATAATCCTCTCCGGCTCCTCCCTATTATTCAGTCAAGAGGGAGAGAGAGACATACTAGCAGTTGGGAAGCATACCTTAGCTGCTGAAAAATTGTGATGAAAATTAATGTTTTCCTAGAAAATTTTTTGGATTAACAATGGCAAAAATAGTTCAGGAAAGCTACCTGTTTTCAAGATTCTTCATGGTCTGTCAATCAGCCAACACTTAACTAAACTTCTAGTGGGTTCTAGGTGGTGAGGACACAGATGTAAGACATGGTTTGTGTCTTCAAGGAGCTCACAGTCTTGCAGGAGGGATGACATTCAAGCCAACAGTACAATATGGGAATTCCACGAGTCGAGTCATGTGTATGGTGTAGAAGTGTGGTGCGGAGAGCAAAGCCTCAGGTAGATGTGCTGAGAAGGCAGGCTGGGAGCGCAGCCTGGGGTCAGCCAGAAAGGGTTTTGAGTATGGGGTGAGGAATTTCAATTTTCGTTTTTGGTAATGAGGGGCCAGCAAAGAGTTTTAATACCTATAGTGATATCATCAGACTTGCAGTTTATTCTTATTCTTTTTTTTTTGGCATCTGGCTGGTACGGGGATCTGAACACTTGACCTTGGTGTTACAAGGCTGTGCTCTAACCAACTGAGCTAACCAGTCCAGCCTTAGAGTTGCCGTTTCGAAATATCATTTGGGCAGCAGTGTGGGAGGTGAATTTGGTGGACCTTGGTGTTACAAGGCTGTGCTCTAACCAACTGAGCTAACCAGTCCAGCCTTAGAGTTGCTGTTTTGAAATATCATTTGGGCAGCAGTGTGGGAGGTGAATTTGGTGAGGGGAGGGGGTGTTTGTGGAAGAAGAGGGAGGAGAAATGAGCCAGCAGAATGGTGGGAAGGCTGTCTCGGTGATTTAAAGGAAGGATTGTGTAGTCGTGGACTAAGTGGAAAAGAGGGACGCTTGTAAGGATATTAAAGAGGTAAACTTAATAGGACCTGGTATGAGAAGTCAGGGGTGAAAGGAACGAGGGAGAGCTGGAGTAGACGGCGGTCCCACCACTCACTACAGGCAGTGTGAGAGGAGGAGCGTGAGCGAGTTAAGGGTTCCATCTGCAGACGTCATCTTGACTTTGCAATGTTTAAGTGGACGTCTTTATCGGTCGTTTGGATAGTAATATTTGAACTTAATGGAAGGGTCGAAGCAAGGTAAATGTACTAATTCTGAGCTTCTTATGTAGTAGTTAAAAATCATGGGAGTATGCAAGGTCACTCACTCACAGACAGNGAGCTTCTTATGTAGTAGTTAAAAATCATGGGAGTATGCAAGGTCACTCACTCACAGACAGGAGTGGAAAAGAGAAAGGGGCCTGAGGACTTCAGTGATCTCACGTTTAGAAGGTAGGAAGGGCAAGGAGGACCAGCAGGACAACTGAGAACACGTGGTCACTGGGACCTAAAGGATGAAAGTATCAGAAAGGAATGGCCAAAAATGAAACATGGAACAGAAGGATGAAATACAGACTAAGTATCCAGTCTTGTTGTATTTGATAGCTGGAAGGTTATTGGGGACCTTTGCTGTGTGGTTTTGGTTAGTGAGAAGGAAACAGCTATGAGTTGGTGACTGGGTATTTTTCTGTGTGAGAAGACTGGATGGGGAGGAGGGGCGGCTTTGAGACTTGGAAGAAGGGAAATAATGCAGGTTTGTTTTTAGGTGGTATGAAGGGTCAAGAGGTCTTGAAAGGGTTCATGCCTGAAAGACCCTGTTTTCTCAGGGAGGTAGGAGAGAACATCATCCACTGAGGGTTAAGTGGGTGGAGGTTGGCTAGGAAAGGTCAGCAAACTTTTGAAAAAG